TGTGTGAGTGCTGGATGATGGGTGTTTGTGTGAGTGCTGGATGATGGGTGTGTGTGTGAGTGCTGGATGTTGGGTGTGTGTGTGAGTGCTGGATGATGGGTGTTTGTGTGAGTGCTGGATGATGGGTGTTTGTGTGAGTGCTGGATGATGGGTGTTTGTGTGAGTGCTGGATGATGGGTGTTTGTGTGAGTGCTGGATGATGGGTGTTTGTGTGAGTGCTGGATGATGGGTGTGTGAGTGCTGGATGATGGGTGTGTGAGTGCTGGATGAGGGGTGTGTGAGTGCTGGATGATGGGTGTGTGAGTGATGGATGATGTGTGTGTGTGCTGGATGATGGGTGTGTGTGTGCTGGATGATGGGTGTGTGAGTGCTGGATGATGTGTGTGTCAGTGCTGGATGATGGGTGTGTGAGTGCTGGATGATGGGTGTGTGAGTGCTGGATGATGGGGGGGGGGACATTTTTTTTAACTTTATGTGTCTATATTTTTTTATTTTATCCCCCCCTCCCTGCTTCTTACCTTGTCAGGGAGGGGGGAGATCGCCTGGTGGTCCGGTGGAGGGAGCCAGCCGCTGCACAGAGGGGCCATCACACGCTGTGTTCCCTCTCCAGCTCTAACTCTCGCGAGACTCGCCTGTGCGGAGCGTTGCCATGGTAACAGCCGCGGGTCTCGCGAGAGTTATAGCTGGAGAAGGAACACAGCGTGTGCTGGCCCCTCAGTGCAGGGACCAGGGCCGGTCCTGCAGGACAGGTAACGGGAACGGCGTTCCTGCTTTAGAAAAAGTGCAGGAACGCCGTTCCCATGCGTTCCTGCAGGACTCGAGCACTGGTCATATAGTCATTCCCTATAGGCATTTTAATGTATCAGAGAAAAAGCAGTATTTAAATTACAGCCTAGGAACACCTCTAGTGGCCATTCCTCAGATGGCCACTAGAGGTGCTTTCTGGGTCAGTGCTGCATAATGTGTAGCGCTGCCGATTAGCGCCACGCTGTACACTCCCCATAGAGATTCATTAATTCAATGCATCTCTATAGGGAGATGCTGATTGGTGCAGCGCAGCATTTTGCCATGCATGCGCAATAGCATCTCAATGCTTTCCTATAGGAAAGGAGTGGATTGGCTGAGACATACTCAAACACTGCCCAGTCCTGTGCATTGTATTGATGAGGTGATGTGTGATACACTTACAAATTGCACATTACTGTGAGTTCTATTGCTGTAGAGCTCAGTGATACTGTCTCTGTGCAGCATATCAGTGTATCTCTTGGCCAGAGGCGGCCCTCTAATTAGGTGATTTAGGCGGCTGCCTAAGGCCTCGCGTTAAAAGAGCCTCGCGGCCACCTAAACCATGTAATCAAAGAGCTGCAGTGCTTCACCAATATTAACTTACTGCCGGCATCTTTCCCAGGACAAAAACATAATTGAAGCCTTTCATGCCGCTGCTGCGGCGCTACTAATACAAGATGAAACCCCTTGCATAGCTGCTTTCTTTAAAACACATGGCTATAACTGACAAGTTAAAATGGTCTGATTCTCAAACCAGGGTTGTCAGGCTCATTATGAACTTAATGATCAGATGCAGATAAAGTCTTTTTGAGTTTTATTTTTCAAAATCCCAGGTGAAATTATATTTTTGTTTTTGTGTCCATGTAAAAATGAGTAATTTGGTTTTTACCGACAGGTGCTGCTGTGTATTGGGTGTAAAACACCAGGCTGCTTTGTACATTTTTACCTCTGGCAGCAAGCAGGCTGTATATTGGTCCCCTGGGCATAGAATTAGTGTAAATTACAGGCACTATGTCTGTCTCACCCTGTACCCTTTGTTCGTGTCATTGTCGAACATGCCAATTTGCAAAGTGCCACCATTATGTTTTTGATTAAATATAAATATATTGGCCACTGGCCAGTCTCTCCTGACACTAAATCTGCAATCTTCTTTCATTTTATAATAGGTGAGGTGTGAGCTAAGTGATTGTAAAATGCTCACTTAAAGGGACACTATAGTCAACTATACTACAACTTTAGCTTAATGAAGCTGTTTTGGTGTATAGATCATGCCCCTTCTTAATGAAGCAGTTTTGGTGTATAGATCATGCCCCTGCTTAAAGGATCACTATAGTGTCAGGAAAACAAAGCGGTTTTCTTGACACTATATAATCCTTGGGGGACCCCACCCTTAGGGCCCCCCTCCCCCTTCAGCAGCTTACCTTTATCCAGCGCCAGGCTCCCTCTGCGCTGGTGACCTCTCCACCCCTGCTGACGTCAGCTCCCAAGTGGAGCGGAATGCGCATGTGCGTCAAGTGCCATGCACGCATTCAAACATTCCATAGGAAAGCTTTTCTCAATGCTTTCCTATGGACGCTCTGCATGATGAATGCGAAATTCGCATCCAGCGTCGCAGATACACCTCTAGCGGCTGTCCGGAAGACAGCCACTAGAGGTTGGATTAACCCCTAATGTAAACATAGCAGTTTCTCTGAAACTGCTATGTTTACACGTGAAGGGTTAAAACCTGAAGGACTTGGCACCTAGACCACTTTATTGAGCTGAAGTGGTCTGGATGACTATAGTGTCCCTTTAATGAAGCAGCTTTGGTGTATAGATCATGCCCCTGTATAGATCTGCTATTTAGGAGTGAAATCACTACATCAGTAAATGTTTGCTGGTTTTATGTATCTCATTGTCATGTTTTGGTGTTCAATAAATTTTACAGTTGGTTTCATATTGACAAATATGGAGAGTAAAACATCTAAAGAGAAAGGTGGTGCTCAGAAAACACGAAAAAGCGGTCCAAAGAACTTGAGTTAGCAGGAAGGGATCCTAAGCAAATGAAACTATCTTTTTCGGTGGTATGTTAAAAGTTCAAAAGTTAAGGCTGGTTCTAAAATTTTTTGTCACAGAAATGTATATTCACTCTTTTGATAATAAGAATGAATATATGTACCGTATATACTCGTCTATAAGTTGATCTCGCCTATAAGTAGAGTGCAGTTTTTTGACCAACAATTGTGAAATATGCTATTACTCGTGGATGAGTCATGGATAAAACTTGGCGCTATGAAGTCCTGTGATTTTTATTATTTTGTCAGATTTTACCTAGGCAAAGATCCTGGAACAATCAAACAGTTACGGTACCTACTTCTCTGCATCTCAGTGCACATGCCCAGCTCCAAAGCTATTAGATGACCGTGCCTGAAGGCGGCAGGAACATTTGGTTAGTGTTATCTCGCCAGCTAGTGGTCCTGCTTGTGGCTCACTACAGCCACCGCTGCAACAGCCTGCTGTTGTCCGTGTTTGTGTACCCGGTATCTGGGTCAACGTACAGCTATTCTATCGAAACTAGCATGGACCCGTGGATCTGCATTTAAAAAAAAAAAAAGTTTACGACTAAAATTTCTCGAGTATATACGGTAGTCTGTTTGCATGTGCATGATGAAGTTTTACGTTTGTTAAGATTCATGATGGATTATAAAGGAGTGTGCATACTTGACTTTCCATAGTGATCAGTTCTACTTTTTTAAGACATATTTTTACTTATTTGAAATCTCATAAAATCTTACATGTAAGGTAAGTATAAATTGTATATCCTTTGTTTGCATGAGGATTTTTTTTTTTTATAGTTCCCATGCATGGAGTTGCTGGAGTTTTTTGGTTACATCTAGCATTTGGGAGATTAAAATAGATTGACAAAAAAAATTTTGTTTTATGCTGGTGGTATACACCAAAGAATTCCTGTAGATGACGTTTCTGCTGGCCCAAGTGCTCCTTCAAGCATGCCAGTTATGTCTGTCAAAGATGAGGTGAGCCCGCTAGCAGAAGAACAGGTCATTGAGGAGGAGCTGGTGTCAGAATGCAGAGAGCAAGTGCAGATGAATGACCCAGATGTTTTTGAAGACCTTCCTGAATTAGAATGTATCTTACCTGAAGACGTCAGAAATATCTTTTAGTCTTCCTCCTGCATGTTCCATAGCAGAAAAAATGTATTTTGTTGAAAAACACCCTTATCAGCCAACCAGAAGTGAATGCGCAGATCTTCCTTTTCAAGAAGCCGACTTTTATTACCGTAAAAAGTCTAATGGGGATCGTATTAAGCATTCGTGGCTGAGTTGTAAGATAAAGGATTGAAAGCATTTTTTTGCAGCATATGCATTGCCTTTTCTAATTCCTCTTCCTCGTTCACTCATGGTTGTTCTAATTTTCGACATTGCTATCAGGCATCAAATAAGCACGAATCTTCAAAAAGTCATTCTGATGCTGTTAGTGCTTATTTTACAATGAAAACGAATAGAAGCATTGACACATTAATAAATCAGGCTCAAGTCTCCAGAAGAAAGAAGGAGATACTACAAAATATTGAGGTATTAAACCGTATATTTAATATTGTAAAACTGCTTGGAAAACAGGGATTGCCATTTCGTGCCCATGGCCCTAATGAATCGCTGTACAATTTAAATAACATTGAAATAAACCATGGGAACTTTCTTGAAATTGTCCTACTTCTATCACAGTATGATGTTCCTCTTAAAAATCACCTTGATATATGTGTTCAGGACAGTGAAAAAAGAAAACAGCGATTGAAAGATAGAAAAACATCAGGAAAACATTCAACTGGACCTGGATCTCTTGTGACATTTTTGTCCAATAATACAATAAAGAAAATATTTGCAGCAATAGTTCGATGCATGAAAAACTTAATTGTGTCTGAAATAGGAGAGAAACGATTCAGTATACAGGTTGACTCCACACAAGATGTTGGAATTGTAGATCAAGCAACAGTAGTTGCGAGATATGTGCAAGATGAAGCCATTAAAGAATGACTTGTGGCGATTCTCCCTGTTGCTACAGGAAAAGGATTTCACAAACTTCTAATGTCCTGTTTTGATGTACTTGGATTAGATTTCAAAAGAATTGCCGGTGAATCATTTGATGGTGCAGCAAATATGAGGAGTGAGTATGTGGGACTACGTGCACAGATTGCGAAGGTCGTGCCAGATGCGGTTTATATTTGGTGCTATAGTCATATCCTTAACCTGTGTGTCTCAGATTGCTGTCAAGTATTGGAAGCAAAAAAATTTTTTGGTCTCCTAAATCGCTTGGCAACCTTTATTGGAGACTCCCACAAAAGAGTGAATATCTGGAAAGGCCAACTGGATAGAAGACATGGACAAGAAAAACTTTTAAAGTTACAAAAAATTGGAGAGACAAGATGGTGGGCAAAAGAAAAGGCCCTTAACTGGATTTTTGGTGAAAAACATTCTCTTTATTTAGGCACCCTTGAAGTTTTATATGTAATTTCCCAGAGTAACTTGTTTGAAT